ATCTGGCTTGGTAGAGGACCTTAGGAGAAGTATACTTCTATATGGATAATTGTGCCTCTACATTTATATAGTTTTTGTCTATTTACTTTTTGAGACAGGAATTCTTAGAATTATTAAAATTAAATCTTATATACTTTAAATACCTTTCCTAGGGTCATGACTCTACTAAATTCTAGTAGTGGTGGACAGGAATACAAAATTAGAATTATACCATACAACCTCAAGTTCTTGCGGAATTCTTCTAATGTCCAGGGATGAATTGGACATCATCACCAAGTAAGTCACACCTTCAGTTTTTTGAAGAGATTTTCATTTTAGTTTTTTTCTGAAGCTTTTCTAGTGTCTCATGATACATGGCACATAATATGTTCTTAATATGTAAAAAATGAATAATTACAGCAAGTCAGGTGTGGTGGCACATGCTTGTAATCCCAGTACTTCCTTCTGCTGAGGCAGGAGGATTGCCATGAGTTCGAGGCTAGCTTGGCCTACATAGTGAGTTCAAAACCAGGTTGAATTACCTAGCAAGACCTTGTCTCAAAGGAAAAAAAGCATTTACTATTAATGAAAGGACAATGAATCTCAGTATTTCTTGACTGCTTAAATATAAAGATGAACATAGCTTGGAGGGGAAAGTGTCTTGCATGTTGGATCATCTGTCAGCGTCAGTCGAGGAAGGGATCTAGAAATATCTACAGGTGCCAGAAGATAATCATTAATAAAATGGGTGTTGGCTCAATGAAGAATGACTATTGAATATCCAGGTTAAAGGAAAATGGACAAAAGTATGGATAATTAGATGAGTATATCCTCTCCTCTTGGGAGAACAGAAGCAAAGAATTTTAAGTTTTCTGAGAGCAGAGTCCCCCATTTTTTATTCTTTGTCTCCACCAAGGCTTCACTTAATATTTAATAAACTTCAACAAATGTTTGTGAGTGAGTTAATCAATTACTGTTTGTTTGATAACAGTTATTACAGAATACAGGAATGAAGTCCAGAAGCTACTCAAAGAAGGAAGTCAGCATGTTGCATCTCACCTTGAACTAGACTATCTTTAGGACTAGGATCAGAGAGCTAAAGGGTCAGAGGTGCCTTAGACCAAGGAGAACGTGAAGTCTGTCAGTGTCTAGACTCTTCCCATAAGCACAGGCACATCCTAATCTAGAAACAGCAGGTAAATCCTTAAACTTCTATTCACTTTTACCAGAGCCTAGTATTGAGAATGCAACAGGGAGGAAATGTAGGCAAGGCTAAAACTAATTTTGAGAAATGAAAGTAATTTTTGTATCCTAATGGTTTAAAAACATACTTTCAAGCCTTTTATACTGTATTGTTTTATCTGGGTAATTTGTTACAGCATTATGATTTTATAAATACATCATAGCTAATGTTTTTCTGCCATTCAGCTGACATCCAGCCTTGAGTATAAAATGCAAACTCCTTAGCCTATCATCACAGCCCTGTGTGTATGTTATCAAATTAACTACTTTGCCAGAATCATCACAAGCACTTTTCATATGCAATTATGTTCCAACTGTACTTAATTTCTTTTTCAGGTTTTAAAAAATTTTCATATGTTCTGTGCCTGTGAATTTGTTCTAAGCTGGAAAACTTCTATTCATTTATTCAGATCTATCACCAAATCTTTAAGAAATGTTAAATATATCCTTCTCTGTGTATCTGAACATATCTTTGTTCTTTAAAAAATACATATTCCATTGTTTTATAATCATTTACTTATTTTTAAACTTTATCCCTTAGACTTTCAGCTCCAAAATGGAGATTCATATCTTTATTTTTTCTACTCACCCTAGTTCAACATTGGCTGAACCAAAACACCCAGGCATATGTATTTAGGGTGATATTATCGAAATAATATGCCAGCTATAATGGCTCCAAATAATTAGCATTGAGTAAGACAACTAAATAAATTGTTGAAGATCACACCAGGAACTTGATCCTCAAATGTTTTTGCCTACATTTAGTTATGATGGATATTTACTCTGGCATGTGGAAAAGTGGAAAGAATAGAGTCCCTTATACCTGTAATTATGTCTGTGTAGTTTGCCATGAGAAATGATTTTTCTAGCCTAAAAACCTATACTAAAAATGTCATGTTTTTGGTGATTTCATTAACATTTTAAAATGTTAACAGTTCTGTCAGCCCAAACTGAAAATGGCCATGTGAGAAATGAAAGCTTGCATAACTCTGACACCCACTAGTCATGGCTCATTATCCTCCCAGTTTTTATTATGCAGTGAGGAAGTGGGGTCAGCTTCACAAAATTTAGGAACAATTAAGAAAATTACTATATGCAGATGTGACTTATGGACTGAGAATAACTAACTTTTTAAAAGTCTGAATTAAACAAAATAAATAAGGATGATGAAAAGTCCACAGATGTTTTATGGCTTACTGCTGCTTTGAACTTACTCATTATAAAGACTGTTTCTAGGGTTTTACCCACTTCCCTGACCTTTTCCTGAACACTTTGAAACTTTCTCTTTGACTATATTCCTCAGGGAGTTTAAGAAGTCCTAGACATATTTTCTGAAGTTCTTTGAGTTCAGTTTTCAAACACAACCATGGGGATGGAAATATTGTCACTAACCCTTGTACATCGTGAACTGCTGCTGGGTTCCGAGCCTCACACTCTTCTTTTACAACTTTCAAAGTTTGTGGAATAAAAATGTAGAATCAGCCATGAGGGTAGAGGTTATCCACTAGCCTACCATTCTCTTAAAAGAAAAAAAAAAAGAAAGAAAAGAAAAAAGGAAAGGGAAAGTAAAGGAACAAAATCAGACAGTATCTTGGTAAGTACAAAAAAGATGTCTATTTTTAATTTATCTACCAACTACTTATTTTCTTTTACAGTGGCAGATGATGGAGGATATAAATACTATAAAAACTTTCCTTTCTTCTTTCTGTATTAATAAATCTCAATAAATAACTACTAAGTGTGTCTATATGCTAGGCTATGGACTAGGCTGAATAATAGTGTCTCCATTTAATATAATTTATATTCTAGTTCAGAAGTCAAACACACAGACATATGATGATGGAATGAGGTAAGTAGAGTCATATAGGTTCATATACAAATTGACATGGGATTCTTGTGGAAAAAGGCATGTAATTTTAATACAAATTCAATCTTGGGGATCCAGGAAGATCAGCTGATTTTTTTTCTAGTACTGGGAATTGAACTCTGGACCTTGCACTTGCCAGGCAGGTGTGGCACTGATGGTCTACATCCCCAGCCCTAGATCACTTGATTTTGACACAACGAATCCTTAAGATATGCACAACCTAAGTTAAAAAATATTCTTCCCTGCAATTTCTAAGCATTTTGAGGATCCAAATGGAATTATAATTTTCACGAGTGTTTTTTTCTATTTATAATTGTCCTTCCAAAATAAGTATTTGAAATTATAAATCAAAACTTAGCTTATGTGTTTTTGTGGAGAATATTTATTGTCTTAGATAAAATCCTGAGTCTCAATAATGTGCTATTTTACAAACAGTAGATTAAATCTAGATGGCAACTATAGAATATGCAAACAGTTTAAATTTATGGAAATTCAAATATATATGGGAAAAATGGAAAGTTCTGATGACGATAGAACATCTAATTTTATCACTAGTAGATTTCTAAAAAATAAATTTGAATCATTTTATACTTTATTAACAACATATTTTAAGGTATTTATAGTTTGTGCTTAGTTTTTAATTCTGCCATATATATGGCATGTGGCATGTTATCTTGCACACACCAAGGGCTTAGTCCACACATGTAAAATTAAATGTAAATTTTGAAGACTCCCTCCACATTTACCAGATATTCATGTCTTTAAAAGTAAGACATTATGAGATTCCTTGGTGCTCCTCAATGTAATCAAATGTCCCTCTTTGAAGATGACTGCCTAAAAATGAGACCTACAGGCCAGATTTTAACTCTGAAATACCAGTATTTCCCTGACTTGGCCACTCTGACTACAAATATATTTTTCCAGAAGAAAATCTAGGCTTCTACAAAATGTACTTTAAAGTTATTCTGCTTTTCCCAGAGATTATGAAAACCATTTCCATATGATGGGTTATTCTTCATTTTAAATTCTATATTTTAAATTTTATTTTTCATTTTAGCTTCTGAATCAGATTGAGGTACTAAGCAGGAAAAGAATCTATTTAGAAAATGCATCCATAAAATTATTTATATACAAAATAAGAAACAATGATATATTAAAATAATAAAATGATAATACTCATGTGGAACTCTTAGTTCGATCTATTGATCTATGTATCTATCTATCTCCTATCCATCATCTATCATAATGATCCATAGGTTAAAAGGTCTGTTATGTCCTTTTTGTACAAGTAGATATAGAACATAGGAAACTAAAGCTCAGCAAAGTAACTTGACCATGATATGCAGGTAGTAAATAGCAGACTATACTGTCTTAAGGCATGGGAGTAGAGGAAAAAAAATCTCTCTAGTCCTGTGTGACTATTTTTTCCCCCGTATATATTTAGAGAGATGTTTTTTTCAGTCTATAGATATTGGAAAGAGTAAGGAGGAAAAGAAATATTTGTTGTGTATCTGTATGAGCCAAGCATGGTGTTAGTTCCTTTACATATATAATTTCATGCTATCTTTATTGTACTATATTCAGCTAATAATTATATTAATTTACTAGTTAAAAAACCGATATTAGAGCTTTTAAATAACTTGCAAAGAACACAATGGTGAGTAGGGGACCAAACCAAGGTTTAAAAGCAGAAATGAGTGCTTGCCCTAACATGCACTTATAAGTATATAGGTAAAATTACAGATAGTAGATCATGAGATATTAGCCTTAAGTTACCGCAAACCCTCTCAGGAATATTTTTGGATTGTATAGCTATTCAGAGTCAAAATTTCTGCAAATAGAAGAAATAGGAATTTTTTACTTCCTGTCATAGCCCTATGAATGGAAATATAACGCACATTTTGCATCCTACCTTGATAAATATTGTCCTGAAGTGAGATTTGTAGTTTTCACATCCATGCAGTTCATCGTGCTGGGAATGAGAGCAAGTTCTGGCTGAAGCATGGTGGCTGTAGCTACAGCTCTTGCGACTAGCTCCATGGCATCTTGTACGTAGTACTCAAAGACAGATTGTGTTGTTTTTCCATGAGCAATTAGCCCTAAGGGCAGACCCTCGGTCCTCAGTTCCTTCACATTCTGGGAGTCTCCCAACACCCAATGAAGTTCAGGGGGTGTTACCCCAAACTGGGAGGAAATTTCAAAAATCTGCCGGATACTTTCCATGTCACAGCCAAACATCACCACTGTGGGTGTGCTGTCCTTAACACTCTCAAGATGGACCTGTAAAAAGCTTAAGAGGTCCTTGGAGGAGGACAGGTTAGCAGTGATGTTGATGATAGACCCGAGGTGGAACTTGGAATTATTCTGGATAAAGAGGAGGAAGTCGGTGATGTTCCAGTCTTCCTGGCATAGCAACAAGCTAAAATTGTACCAGTTGTTCATGGTCAGGATTGAGACAGTGACACCAGCGTCGGAACTTAAAGAATTTTCTAAACTCAGCTGTAGGTGAAGGGGATTCTGTATTTAAAGATATGAAAAAGAAGAATTAGAAAGCATTGGTCAAAAACTGAGTACTTTCACTTTTTTATAAGGTTAAATCCTTCATTTCCCTGTGATATTTAAATATCTCTGGGATAAAATCTCATATTTTGGAAATATATGGTTTCTGTATAATGGAACTAATGGTTCGTCACATTCAGTTTCCTGGTGATGTTTAAGTGTACCAAAAAGCAGATGACTCTTGGTATAAATATGAAAGGAAACATAACCATAAATTTCATCTTAGATTTTTACACTTTTCTTCCTTACAGAAAGTTCCCTTTGTAATCCTATTTCTTAGACTGCTGTTAATAACTCATTTGTTAAATTTTTCCCTCTGGTGAAATAACTAAAGACATTACCTTTACCTTGTTTAAAAATTAATATGGAAATCTTAACAGTACATTTTCTTGTATAAGGAAGTGTAGAAGATGAATGGACCATAGTTTCCTAAATTTCTAGCACAAGGTGCCTGCAACATATATGGAATAATTAGGAGTATATACATCAAGATTAAGTGTATATTCCAATGTTGAAGTTTTCATTATATTGCTGTATTTACTGAGCACGGATTTTTGCTGTGAAATGTGTGTCATTAAACACATTTATTTAACTTCAATCACAATGTCATCTAGGTATAGAATTCACCAACTCAATAGAGAAAAAGTATGTCATTTGAAGAGTTGAAAACTATTAATCATATAGGTGAACTATAGTCTTCCAGCATTACTACATGTGTTGATTATTCTTTTCAAGAGCACACATTTAACATATTTATCCTCTAACCATAATGTCCTAAGAATATTTAGAACAATGCCATCTACATTTTTACTGTCTAGTAAATATTGGTTGAATTGAACTACATATGTTCCAATGGGGAATTATTGAAGAATTTTTGAGAATTTGCCAAACATTCACATCCGTAATACACACTGTTGTCAAAATATGAGGAGGGCCTTCTCGGTTAAATTTCAAGCCCTTATATAAAAGAAGTATGGTCTCTCCCTACCCACCAAAACTATAGAAAAAGAAATTGGATTTGGGCTGAACTTTGAACTCCATGAAGCACTGAAAGAGTTTTGATTTGTATAGAACAAAGAATGAGGATTCTGAGGGGGTTTTCAGGAGGAAAACTGTGACCATTTGCAGGAAATGAGAGCATCCATGATGGTACATAGGATGGAATTTTAAAATTTGTTCTGAGAATTTGACTTTTATCCTTGTAAGTTAAATTTTTTAACAAAACTTGTTATAATAAAAGCAGAGTTTTGGGAGGGTTCTCTATAGGCAGTGTTCAATAGGGAGAAGGAAGAAATGCTGTTTAAAATCTCAGTTAGGTGATTTAACTGGAAGTTCATGTTGGTAATGGAGGGGAGGGGAAAAGAAGCACTTTTAAAATTAAGATGGATTTAGTGACAAGATCAAATGGGAGAGGTGAAAGAGAGAAAGATATCAAAATTCAGAAGTGGTAGCTACTGGTTTATAGGCCTGAGATGCCAAATAAAAATCTCAAAGTGAGAGGAATGAAAGCTTTGCCTACTCATTAATTTTAATGCATATGAATTGCCCCAGAGAGTTCTTTCCATCCTCCTTTTTCACCTTTCTTTCCTACTTCCTTTTATTTCCTCTTCTACTTTGATCTCTTCTAGCAGAAAACAATAATGGAAGGAAAGCTCTACATTTATTTGGCAAGTACAAATTATTCCCAAATGCTTTCCTGGCTTCAGCTCCTTATTGTGTTGCCAATTTTCTTTCTAAAATATAAATATGATCATATCATTTTCCAGCACCTTAATTACCTCTGAATTACCCATGGGGCAAATTTTAAAATTAATAGTATGGCTTAGGAGGCCATTACTACCTCATCTTTAGCGTTATTTCCAACAAACAAATATACTGTAGAAGAGTAGAATATGTAACCTCTCAAATACACCCCTTTTGTATGAGGATTATTTTGAGAAATGACAGGCAGAGAAGCACTGAAAACAGAGCAGCAGTAACCCTTCTGCAAGGGAAATTTACATGTATGATGGAAATTTTCATTTGTGGAGGTATTTCTTTCTGTGCCAGAAAGAGAATAAAGACAAAACCATCAAAGATTCTTATGGATGAAAACCACTAAAGATTCTTATGGATGAAAGGACACTAACATCAATCTACATCACATCATCCTTCCTCATGTTTATTGTGTTTTTCATGGCTACTTCCTGATCTTCCCAGCAGAACCCTTGATTATGATATTTAAATGCAAACTCAGAGTTACTTCTAATTTTTTCACTTTTAACCTCATCTTTCCTTTTCATTTTTGCCTCTTTTCTTCACTTTTACCTAAGCATTGCCCATCTATACATAAGGCTCACAGGTTATCAAATTGCTGTTTGATTTACTTTTGTTAATCTGCCCTTTGTGAAATATGAAAGATAGAGATAAAATTAACTTTTCTCTCGCACAGTGTACACCAAGTCAAATCATACTAGGCAATCTGTTTTTCTTAAACCAAGGCAAGCATTTTCATGCCCACATAAATTTTATTATGCTATTTTTTTAACCTGGTAATGGGTTTGCATACATTCATATTCATCTTTCAAAACTCAGCTCCATGTAGATTACTAGAAAAATTTTTATATGTGTTTTCTACAATTTTTACTGCTATAGCTGAACTTTTTATTTACTTATGTGAAGCTGAAATTCTCTGAAAAAATCCACATCTATATTAAAGACCTTGTAGACTGAGTTCATCTGAGTAGAACATGGTGATTGTGGAGAGATGGAATGTTGTATCTAGATCCAAAATTATCTAGGACTATCTTTCTTAAGGTGGTTTAAAAACATCCATTTACTTTTAACCTTTGTATGTGACCTAACATTCTCATAGCTATTAAGTAGATTTCTTGGAATGTATTGTTAAATTTAGCAGACCATTGGCCTCTACCTATCCTAAAGCTAAGAATGCTATACCATTTGAAACCTATTCATTTCTCTGCTTTGCTGTGGCCTGCCTACCTAATGTCTCACCATTGTATTTGTTGAATATATTGATTTATGACTTTTTTCCATAGCTATAAAAGTTCATGTAACACTTTCCACTGAGGAGCAAGTCACCCTAGGTAATTTGAATCCACGTTCCTGGGTCTTGGTCACTCATATTTGTCTCAGGATAAATTATCTCTCATATTATTTGAATCAGAGCTATATTTTGTGTTGATGTTTATACTAATTTTCCTCTGTTGAATTCTTGCAATGGTAAACTGGATTTTTATTTGCTTGTTCATCTGACTACTGCCCAGGCAGGATTAATGGTCTCACATCTATGTCATGTTCTATTACAGAACTTACCCACAGTGGTGCATCTATTTGTTAAGCATTTATCTAGCACAATAGACTAAAGTTTCTTTTGGACAAGGATCATATCTTAAACATATCTTCTAACACAGTTAACAAGAGACAGTATTTATCAAATAGATTTTTCTCTATCATTCACTCCAAGTTCTGGGCTATAATCATAATCCAAGAGAGTGAAAACAAAAAGACTGGGAAGAAAACCATCTACAGGAGTTTCAAGACCCAGTATTTTGCTTCAAATGTTGACAACATTTCCTCCAAACATATTCCACAGAGGAACTCACTGAATTGTTGTAGAAGAGCAAGTACAACGAGGCAAGGATGGTTATTATCCTCTTATTATAGAAGTGAAATTAGCTAATCATATTTAGCATTTAGCACTAAACAGAGAAATAAATGCATTTGGCATAGGAGAGCAACATGAGATTTAAATAAAGAACTCCTTCTTCCTTACTTACTGGATAAAGATTAATTTATATAATCACTTTCATGCTTACAAACAATTCTACTGAGAAATTCCATATGTTGAAATTAATTCTTTCACAGACTTAAGGGACACAACTCTTCAAATAAACATTTATTAAGTAATAATTTAGAATCATCCAACTATTTATTATTTATCTAGCAGCCTCAGATGAAGTCTTCTAGTTTCTCCCCACATAATGATATAGGTGCATGCACATACACAGACACACACAGAGATATGAAAATTTATAATGCTTAAATTTAAGCTTGATAGTATGACTTTTGTCAAAATCTGGAACAAAAATTAAACAAGATCAATTGAGTCAAATTAAGAAAATTTGTACAAAGCAAATTGATAGAAGAAACCCATTAGAAAGTGCAATTTTCGTAAAACAATAATTATGAAAACAAGGAAGTACCAACAAAAGAATTAACAGGTAAGTAAATGTTAATGCATATAAAGAAATACATCAATTTAATATATTAAGGTAATATACATGAAAAATCATAAGGAAATATGGAAAAAATGAGATTAAGCATGAAGAAAACAGGTTATTTAGAAAAAGAATATAATTTAAATTCATAACCCTATTGTATGTTAAAAATAAATTCCACTAAACAGATAAAGATATAATGTAAAAAATCACTAAAAATAGACCAATAGGTAAATATGGCTCAGAAATCACAGTGACAAAGAGAAATACATTAAACTATAAATATTATAATATATCATTTCTTGCATTAAATACTCATCATAAAACAAAAATGAAGGAACATAAAAAGACAAGAATATTTTCAACAAATTTTGTAGAAAAGAGTTTATGTTCACAAAATTTGGAGACTATTAGTCAAGAAGGAACTAGAATCCTTTATTTGGCATTCATTTAATCCAGAAAGATAATTTTAAACTTCTACAGAGAGCCATGTCCTGTCTAGTGCATTTTGTGTTGTCTATGTAGTGAATAAAAGATAGACAATATGTAAGTCACTAGAAAAATGCTCAACATAATTATAAATTATGGAAATTACTATTAATGAAACTAAATAGGATATGACAAGACTGGGAGAGTGAGAAAAGCATCCTAGAAAAAATGTAGTAGGGGTGAGCAAATGCAAGCATTGATACTATACCTGTGTTCTCTGATTGGGACTTTAGAAAAAAGACAATTGCT